GGGAGGATTCCACCCCCCGCTTAGCCACTGCAGCGACGTCCCTCCACGGAGCCAACTTCTAAAAGGTCCGATTTTGTGCTCCGTGGCTCTAGCACTTGCCAGAAGCGGCCGACGGAGGCCCCCTCCCCCGCCGTCTATCCTCCCGAATATCGCCTCCGATTCACTTCTCCGCACGTCCTACCTTCCAGAAAGTGGTCACTTTTCTGTTCAGAGAGTTGTTGCTACTCTCTTCTTCGGTCTCCTGTTGAGTTCGTAGGTGTTCAGAATGGTTTGATCCCTATCCAGCTGAATTCCTGAGACCAGACGAAATCTAGGTCTCCTACTCCTCCGCCATCTTGCTCCGCCCCCCTCCAAAGAATGGTTTTTAAAAGGAAAATTGAAATTCAAAATTTGAAATCTGGAGGGAATCGACAAAGCCTTTTCTCCTTTCATCTGGAACCCTAGGTCTCGGAGGAGGGCACCTTCGAGGGCAGGGTCTGTCCAGTCGAGTTTCTGGGCAGACCCCTAGAGCCCCGGATGCGTGTCTCAGTTGAGCTCAGAAACGTCATTCCGCGGGTCTGTTCCCAAGCACCTGGAGATGGGGGTGGTGGGCAGCGTCCGCAACGAGGTCAGAGGGACCCACACCTGGGCCCTCACTGCAGACGACGACCACTCAGTGGAGAATGTGCTCTGGAAACAACACGTGGGGAGGGTCTGTGAATTTGCTTGTCTCTATTCCGAAATCCTAGTTCTTAGAGAAAGAATGATGCCTTCTCTTTTTTTCTGACATTTCTAATTAACAGCCAATATTCCATTACCACATAAATAGGCTCTGCCTTATGCTTTTAGTAACACTCCTTACGCTGTGAGAGACTGAAGTCTTCATTCCCTGCTTCCAAAAATACTGTATGATCCACATTAAAAAGCCATTTTTGTAGGACACGAAATTGTGAATACTGGAAATTTGGTGTGGTTCCAAACAAGTATGTTTGTGTATATGTGTACCTATATATATATATATATCAGTGTATACACCTCCTTCCCACGTGACCAGACAAAAGTGGAAAAGTGAAAAAGAAAACAGAAAGACAGACTACCGTATATGCAGGCCAAAAGATACATTTTGCAAGCAATCAAATTTTCATGGTCTGTAAGAGACTTTCCAGAACATCATTAATGTATTATTAGTTGTGCATTAAATCAACAGACACCAGATTTCATCTGGGCACAAAGTCCTCCAAAGAATGGAGAGATTTGGTGAATGTCCACGTTCCATACAAAACGACTCTTTTACAGGTGCAGGCTGCCGTTCTGCTTGTGCCCCAGGGAAGGACTGTACCGCTCTTCTCAGGCCCCGATATTCCAGAAGTCACGCCCTCAGAGTCTATGGATTTCTCACTGTTACACGGGGACGCGGAGGAACCACCACTCAAGAACTCCCACGTTGTGGTAACTGAAGATCCCTTGGCGTCCTGCCGGACTGGGATGTGGCCCGAGAGAAGGGCCGAGCACTTCTCATCCTGGGAAGGATCAGCCTGCACCACAGCTTGACGGTGACACAGAAAGGGCACGATTCTGTGCGTAGATACAACTGAGGCAATGGCTGGGTGGGATCCAGTCTTCTTCAGTCATAGAATAACCACATGGTTTATGCCATCCCCATTGTGTAGAGAGGGAAACTGAGGCTCAGAGAGAGAGAAATGCACAGCTGAGGCAGAGGGTCAAGAGAGGAGGCTGGCGGCGAGGTCCAGCCTCCCTGACTCCCGAGTGCCAGTCGCATGCCGGCCGCAAAGGGCGCTGCTTTCTTCCTTCTTGTTGAGTCTGAGTGTTTGGAGAGGCATTGGCTCAAGGTCAAGAACCGTCCTCACGGTCATGATGGGTAGAGCCCTAGGGAACTCTGAAGGCCGCGGTGTGGGGTATTCTTGCGGGCCCACGCAACTGTGGTTTGCACAGCTCCGCGTGACACAATCGTAACTGTGCAAAGTGCGTGTGGGTGGCAGTGAACACGAGACCCCGCAAACGGGGGGCTGCCCATGCGTCTCACTCCCTCGGCCTCAGGGCCGCGGCTCCCGTGTTCACAAGCCAACCCAGCCATCGCTCATGTCCCCCGACATTCAAGCGCTCTCCGCCTTGGGACGGGGGACCCGCCACGGTGTGTGAGACTCACTCAGAGGGAATCAAAGCTCCGACTTACCTTTCCGTAGGATCCTTGTCCTAGAACTTTCAAGAGTTCAAACTGGGAAGGGTCGGCCTTCTCAAAGCCTTCCTTTACATGGTGGCTGATGTCGATCTCCTTGACGGTGCCTTCCTCCTGCAAGAGAGTGGTGGTACACGGTGAGTATGCCCAGCAGCAGGTTGCTCCGGATTCACCACACTTCCGTCCTCTACGGACGTCACGACACGCTGGGCCATGCTATGGATTTTGAGGACCGCAGTGAAGGCAGGGAAAATCTGTTCTCGACCCTCGAGGTCTTCCAGCCGGACTGAGGATTTAATTTACATGAGATGGATTAATAGGAGAAAAAAAATCAAAGTATTATTCCATGTGCACAGAGGCCCAATAACAAAGCTGAGACCTAGAGAAATGACCAGAGCAGGCAGTTTTTATTCTTTTTTTTTTTTTAATATTTTATTTATTTGAAAGAGAGAGAGAGAGAGCACAGACAGGGTGAGGGGAGAAGCAGACTCCCCACTGAGCAGGGAGCCCGATGCGGGGCTCGATCCCAGGACCCCGGGATCATGACCTGAGCCGAAGGCAGACGCTTAACCGACTGAGCCACCCAGGCGCCCCCAGGTTTTACTCTTTATAGACAAAGGGACAACAACAAATCTGCCAGGAATTGGCAAGACAAGGAAAGCTTGACTTTGGGAGCTTCAGTTAATTAGGAATTATAAGAGGATTTGGGCTGCGGCAGTAAACTGGGAAAAAGTAGCAAAGGCTCCTGTCTCTGGGGACAGGCTGTCTCTATTTCCTGGTGATGAAGGGTACCATCCCCGGGGCGGGGGGTGGTACTGTGACACGTGGGACATCACAGAGCTTTATGCCATCATCCTTTTCTGGGCCTATCTCAGGAAGCAGGCCAGGGGAGCTCTCGCTCGCTTCTTTTCCACATGAGTATTTGTCATTTGGTCTCATCTCAAGGACTCGTCAGGAGCTCTCCACGAAATCCATTCTGTGTCCAACAGTTTGGGCAAAAGTTGGGGTAGGGGTGACGATGGGACCCGTGTGGCAGAATGAACCTCTGAGATCTGTCTCAATGGCAGTGGGGCTGTGCTGAAAAGGGCCGTTGACAGGCTCCCTACGTGGCCGTGGTTTGTGAAATGCAGATGTGTGACCTTCTCCTTCTTCCTGAAGGATACCTTTGCCACAGCTAATGCAAAGTGCATTCCCTTGGTCTCCCAGAGACCGTCAGAAGAAGCAGTCAGGTAAGATTTTTCTGCCAGTCCAGAAGCAAGATTTCCCAGTAGGAATAAAAAAAAAAAAAAAAAGTCTCTGTTCTTTAAATTAAGACATGGACAGAAATCACTACGATTTTTCATCAGAGAACTTCCTGTCCCCACAGATGCATCACTTCACTTATAACAGGGTAAATCCGCCCAATGCCAGCAATCTGAAGTTGGGAAGCTGGAAAAGAGGCATTTTTCCTGACAGTAGAGGCTCACTATTGCTGAGTGCCTCACTGTGCTTCTCTGGGACTCCCCTTCCAGCCCCTCCATCCATCGGAGCACTCACCCCTGCTCTACCGTCTTGGCATTTGGCGAGGTGTTGAAAAACAGCAGAATGGGCTGGCTGAAAAGCTCATCTAAAAATAGCACCCAGTAATCACAAGCACATTGTGTTCTGGACACTCAGGACTTCTCATTGTTTCTTTCATTCCTTAAGAAATTGTTTTGAAGTAGAGATTCAGTCCGAGGCAGGCCCAGAGCTACAAATGTTAGAGATGGGTTTCCACTCCTGGGGCACAGGGACACCACCCCTTCTACCTGGAGGTAGTCGAAGAGCAGCTATTTTCAAGTGAAATCGTAATAGCAATACTTTACATTACAGGGGTCTCTCTAAAATGTACAGAGATTTCGGTTTCTCAAAAGTTATGAATTGTTCTATTTTATTCCTGCGTAACCAGCACTGGACACCTTTAAAGTAGACCAAGGTCGTATGTGCCGCAAAACCTAACTGCAGGTCAGCAGCCTGTGCAGGAACGTTTCGCTTTTTCTCTTCCCATGGTTAAGAGAACACTCCAATTTCCACATCTTTGAGGATTATTTGCCATTTTTGTAGAAACAATGGTTTTTCTAATTGTGAACAGAAACAAATGAAAATAGCCAAAATGGATTCTTTTTGATCAGTTCCTAAGGTTCCTAGGAGCTCAGTTAGGAGAAGACCAATTAGAATGTCATTGATTTGTGATCACTTCTTGAATAAATAAGTAAGGCTCGGGGCAAAGGTCACCCAATCGGGGATTATATTTGGATTGCAGTCTGGGGTGGAGGTCACAGTTGAAGACATTCCCGCTTTCAGCCTCAGGCCTCCTGGACCTGCAGACCCTGTAGGCTCAGGAGACCGAGCAGCTTCTGGAAGGAACGTCTCCATTTGGCACAGGAAGGGAGAGCGACCACGGGACCCTCAGCTTCATCGTGGTGCCTGGTTTCGCACAAAGACTGTACTCTGCGGTCCTGCAGCCGACTTCCATTTCCCACGCAGAAAACAAGGCCAAAGCCGAAGTTCAAAACACTTCCCCAAGTCCCCATAGACACATAGATGCTTTCCTTCCCTGCTGTTGACTTGTCAGCTGAAGAAAGAGATGGAAGATGATGGGGTCACTTAAGTGAGAACAAAGTGCCCCTTTCCTGTTAATGAAGAACTTTCCAGCAATGGGCCCACTGACCACCCTCTCCCTACGGCGCAGCCCACTGGGAGTCACCCAGAATCCCGATTTCCCTCCTGAAAGAACTTCCATCACGCAGCCGCGGAAATTCGGCACCTGCACTACGAACAAGTCATCATTCCCCGAATCCCGTCTTTCTGTGACTTCATTTTGGTAAGGGACACATTAACAGTCACAGTGCTGAATAGAGAGTCAAATTCAACACTGTCGTAGGCACAGAGTGGGAGAGGGACAGCGTCCACTCAGATGGCCGAGGAGCCCGGGGACAACGGGGGCGTGCACTCTTAGCTTGGCCTCCGATCACACGTCACAGCACATGTGTGTTTCATGACGATTCCAGATCATTCCTCCTCTTCAGCCGCTCTTTGCGGAGAGCCAGAGGCCCACAGTGGCGGTAAGTGAGGTCACTCAACCCGCTGGGACACTGTCAGGTGGCATTCTTACGGTGGGAGCCCGCCGTGCCCAGTCCCTGGGCATTCCCACCGCATCCCCCTCCTGGGGTGGGGGGTGCCAGCCAGCCGGTGAAGCTGACTTCTCCTCCCTGTCCACCGTATACCCCCTTCCATTTCAGAAGTTTACCTTCTTAACGTTTCAAATCAAAGGTTTACAAACAAATCTCTCAGAACATTTCAAGTGTTGTGTATTCTTGCTGTCCAAGAATTTGGGGCAAACGTACCCAAAGCACATAGCTAGTTTCACCCCCGAGAATGGCATCAGAAACCTCAGAACTCTCTTCCCTGATCACATTGCAATGCGGTTCATTTCCCACATGAAATCACTAAGGTCTTTAAGAGAAAAGAGACTCGGCTATCCCTGAGGAACCAAGAGCGTCACATTTTAGATTTCAGAGTTTTGCATTTGTAGTGACATTTTGGCTTGAATTTGCCTGAGGCTAATTTGTTTTTCTCTTTCCCAGAACTTAAAAGAAAGACAGGAGGGGAGGGGAAGGGAGGGGAGGTTGATCCCGAGCTGACCACAGGGGCCCGTGTGCACAGATGCAGGCAGGGAGGGGAACATGTCCAGGCATGTCTGCTCTTGTTTCTGGATGGAACGTCCTATTTTCTGGATGATCATTGCCCTAAAGGGCAACTAGAATTATAGTATCACCCATGTCTCATTTTGAAATAAATGCCTTTTCTTTGTTACCAGGCAGGCCATTTTATCTAGAACTCTGTGGATTTTAATGTTATTCCTTTCAGAAAATAAACTCTGTCCCTAAATGCTCTACATATAGCACTAAACATTTGGTTTCTAGTGTGATTCCTGTGAATGGGTATTTTTTTTTTTTTTTTTTTTTTTTTTTAGTAACTTGAGAAATTTGGTGGGGAGAAAGTGGTACCTTGCTTCACAAGCAAGAGGATTTCAAAAATGTTCTAATGAGAGAGAGAAAAGCTAGAGAAATAAATTGTTTAAATGACATCAATATGTGACAAGATAATTTGTGACAATGAATTTTTTAAGCCCCCGTTGAATCGTGTTTGAACTTCTGACAGATCACAGAGCTTCGTGGGCAGGTACCCAGCAGTGGTCGTGAGAGGCTGGTGGCTGCAGGCAGTGATGAAAGGGGGTGGGGGGGCACCTCACAGCTGACCCCTCCTCCCTGCACTGGGGTCACTTTCTTAGAATGTCCTCCATCCCGAAACATCTGCTATTCATGTCATTTTTGAAGGGAGGATATTTGTGAAAAGCACGTGCACATCAAAAGTTGTGAACTATTAATGATAAAGACATAGAAAATAAAAACTGGGCAAGTGTTAGCTTCACCTCCAGAACAGGCGGAGAGTTCATTCTAGAAATCACCAATTCTCAGGTGGGATATCAATTCCCATGAAGGGTACAGAGTGGATGATTAAACAGGTGGTTTATAAAAGTGTAGAAAAGAACAAGGAAAGGACCTAGCCTCTGAGTCTCTGGGAGAAGTCCTTCAGAACCACTGGGGGAGCTAGGAGCTAGTTAAATGTAGGGATCCCAGGGTGGGGGGGCAAGGCCTGGAATCTGTGAAGGACAGGCTCCCAGCTCGGAACACAGAACTGGGTTTCACTTAGCTTCCCTGCTCACACCAGCACTCCTTCCCCTCCTGTGCTTCCCACCAGCTTACGCGGATGCTCTATCTACTCAGTGAAAATAAAAATTTCATTGTCCCCCCCACCCCCAAGTCCACCAGGTGCAGACACAACTCTGAAAGGAGTTTTCAAACTCAGGGTCTCTGGTACCTCCGCTACCCACTGGCATCCGGCTCCCCCCACCTCACAGCAAGTCATGACAGAGTGCCAACCCCAGGGGTCAGATCCCCGGGCCACCCGCCCCTCTGTCTTCCCCGGGACACGTTCCTCACTGGCCTGCTCCCCGGGAGCCTCCTACCTCCCCATTCTCTGTCTCCTTATCTCTCTGCCTCCCAGCATCCTGCCACGCCCGCCTCAGTGCC